CTCAGACTCCCTGTCTAGTATTCAGCAGATAGATGACCCTTAAGCATGTGACCCTATAGGTTCGGTGAAGTATAGAAATGACCTGGAACCTCTTCCGATCAATGATCAACATCAGAGCCGGGACTCCCATATTGACCCCTATACCCACACGAATGAATATTCGAGTGAACCTCCAGTTGTAGTGAGCTATTCCTGTTGCTTTGCGATATGTCACAAACACCCGAGGTGAGATTTATTGCATCCCCATGGACGAACAATTTGTCCACCATGAAAGTTACCTCGTTACCGATTTTGTTCTCTTTTCTCGTTTCCGTGTTCCGGCATCCCAGTGATCAAATCACACTATGTCTAGCCAGACGATGATGGATACCGTAATACCGAGAGGGCCCGAGAATATCTCTCCATTGTCGGAGGAGCAAATCCCAATCTTGAGCTATCAAGTTACTTGACACACTTTTTCATGAACCCATAAGCCGCCATAATAGCCACCCATTTATGGATGACGTTTAACAAACCCCAAAGTTCATGAAGCAAGCATGATGAAACTCGATACTCTCATGGTCTAAGAAATCATGCAAACGTTAACCATCCCTGTGTTATGTACCATTAACTTGTGGCGAATGAATCTCTTAGCATAACATCAATCCGGGTCGATTCAATACAAATGTTCTCTTAACATTGTGCCCTCAAGGTTGCTAGCATAGACATGCCCATGATCAGGAAAACAGAACCATCATGCAATACTTGAGCTAGTCTTAGAGGCCGGACTAGGAATACATTTTACCGTTGACTATTCCACACGTGCATATGAGTCTTCCTCCGAGCCTCGTGGTTATTGCAGACTCGAGAACCATAGCAGTTATAGCATGGAACATAAACATAATTATGAACATGGAGATAAGTAATAGTATTTATTATTTACTCTAGGGCATATCTCCCACAAATGACATACTGAAAGAATAGTGAAAAATATATCATACCCAGCTTTCTTCATGTCAATGTCACCAGTGACAATATTAGCGATCTTGCCGCCTTTCCCAAGATGATGCTTGTCATAAAGATTAGGGCAACTAGGAGCCCAATGGTCAGGATCTCCGCACACATGACAAACACATTTCTTATTGTCATTCTTCTTCTTGAAGTTGGTGTGTTGTATAGCCTTATTCTTCCCATCAAATTTTGCTTTACCATCAAACTTTTACTTGTTCTTGAACTTGTGGGACTGGAAGTTTTCTTTTGTACCAGATTGGCACTAGATCCTCACTTAGTACCTGGATGATGGAGATGAAATGGAGAGCCCGGCAACTTGAGTCAAAACAAGTGATCGGTGCGCCAGCATGCATGGACACAACCATCGGCGAAGAAAGACAACGGAGAACGGGCCTCGCGGTGGGAGATCAGAACTTGTGACGCGCGCCGACGGTAGTCTACCTTTGTTTTGTTTCCGGACTTGAGGACGGCGGCGTCTTTTGAGGTTTTTCGTTTTGGACGGGCTTTAATTGTCTTGCATCGCTTGCATGTCACTTGCATTAAAAAAAAGGAGAACGTTTGGAAACGACGTGGCTTCATCACGACAAAGGAAAAGAAAGAAAACACTTCTTTTCTGATGATGGAACGAAAATCGCTAGTTGCCTACACACATCTATCGGGTCCGCGAGCGATCGACCGATTCCTTCCTATGTCGGGAGCGTTTTTTCTTCTTGCTTGGTGCAGTCGGGCCAAAATCGTCAGCACGTTTTTTTCCTATGTGTGTACACAATCGGTTGATGTTTTTTCTTTGCACCTCCGAGCAGGGAGAAGACGGCCAATGGCATCGCCGTCACGTCAAGCCCTTTTGGCGTCGGCAGCCACGACTAGCGTATCAGGTGCTACCCGGATGCATGGCAGAAATAGAGACTTTTTTTTTGCGATGGGCAGAAATAGAGACTTGGTGGGCCATATCTCCCTATACCTCCAGTACGACAGCCGCGCCAAGACCAGCAACGTCACGGCGACGTACAAGCTGAGCATACTCGACACGTCCTGGGAGCCGTCGTGCACCAAAGTAATGCAAAATCACCGCTTCGAGACGAGCGATGGTTAATTACTGGGGATGGAAACACAATGATCTGGACAGGGACAAGTTTTTTTGAAAGAACCGGTGTATCACCGGCATTCATATATTAAGAGAAGAGAGGCGGAAAATATGTTCATGATCAAGTGATCATGATGGATTACAAGACTTAGGCATGAAAATATGTTATGTGATGGCCCTAGCCCGGATCGCCTAGAGGAGTCGCGAGGCTGGACAGGGACAAGTACCTCAAGGACGACTCAGAACGCTACCCAATCGACTGACCCACAGCAGTATTGGGAGACTTCACTATTAGGCAACCCAAAACATCGAAAGGGTCTTCGGATCCGACTAAATGAGAAGCACTTGTCGGGGGACTCAGTTGGAACTCCTCGGATGGCCGATGTATATCACTTCTCGGACTACAACATGGTTACAATAGAGGAAGATGCTGAAAAGGTGAACCAGTTTGCAAGGCCGAAGATCAGTAACGGAGGACGAGCCATGCGAGGACCTATCCTCGGCTTGGAAGACCGGTTCACGGGCTATTAGCGGTGTCCTGAACTAGGGGGTGGTAAGCACGTCGGCCTGCCAGTCATGGGCCAGGCCGAGGACTCCCAGACAACCGAAGAATGGATCATGCTTGCCATGACCCACGGCATACTCAAGATGAAATCCTCTGAAGACTTGACGCACACTTCAAGACATATCCAAATCATCGGTATGTTTATCCCTTGATATAAACCGGGGGATTTTAGACCGTAGGGGTAAGAGACATTCATATACGATCTCAAGGTAGACCATCATGTACTTTATACCTCATCCACAATCAATATGACAAGAGCAGGACATAGGGTTTTACCTCTTCGAGAGGGCCTGAAGCTGGGTAAAACATCGTGTCCTTTTTTGTCCTCTTACCATCTAGTTAAGATCACCAGCTCGGGACCCGCTACCCGAGATCCGATGGATTTAACCCCAACACCTGTTACAAAAGCAATAAATTGGGCGGTTGTTTCGGGCGCCATCGGTCGGCTCACGACATGGCCGGTCATTTAAAAAGATCAGTTGGCGGACGCGCACCATGCCCAAGCAAATAGAGTTTTTGAAGAGAAAAACAGTTTTGCTGAAATAATGTTGTTGAGCGCACGGCGGAGCGGCGCGGCGGAGAGGTGGTGTGCGGCTGGGGCTCTCGGGAGGAGATGGCCGTGGTGTGGTGGCCCCTCTAGGAGGCGACGGGACGGGACAAGGCGGCGGCGGCGCGGATTGGCCTGGGCGGCGTGGCGGGGCTCGGCCAGGAGTTGCTGTGCTTGCAGCGGCCGAGCACGCCGCGGTTCTCGGCGCCTCCGTTGTGGTGCCCCCTCCTGGTCTTCGTGGTCGTGGGTGATGGAGGCGGCGGCGCGGGCCGGATGGGCCCGATCTGGGCCGTAGGGTCGCGACGCACTCGTCTGCCTGGAGTTGGCCTGACGGTTGGACGTGCGGTCCGGCGATCCTTGGTCGGGCATGGAGGGAGCTCGGCGAGTTCTCAGCCGTGGAGGTGCTGGTGGTAGGTTGTGCGCTCCTGGATGTGCGGGTCTCGAGTGTTCTCGGCTTCTCGGCTATGCTGGCTTAGTGCTGCGGTGGTGGCGGAGTGCCAACTTGGATGGTCTGTCCCCAATCCGATCGGCAGAGATGGAGGTGTGCGGCGGTCCAGAAGAAATTCTTGCCCGTTCTTGGTCGGTGCTGGCGGCGACGGCGCCCGTGGGTGTCGTTTCCCTCCTTGGAGGCGTCGCCAAGGTGTGTCGGCATCTCCATCGCTTGCTCATGGGATTGGTAGCGGTCTTCGGGCGAAAGCCTAGGTTCGGAGTTGAACCGGCGTGATGGCAGCGTCTTCGACGCCGCTACTCTGTTGAGAGCATCGTGTTTGAAGACACGGTCTTGAGGTTCCATGTTGCGCTACTTCCGATGCTCGCCGTTGTCCAAGACCATCTTCAGATGCGCAATGTATGTCATCGCCGGTGAATCCAAGATGGTGCCTTTAGTGGACCGACCAAGTTCCGCCATCTACTTGCCACCTCCTTTAGGCATCAAGGGTGGATGGTGCGTCGACAAGGGGAGTTCATCCGGAGTTGGTATTGTCTTTGGAGGTGACCGGCGTTGGTCAAGACGCGGCGATGTTGATCTGTTTTTGGACAGGCTCTTTTGTGCTTTGTAGCTGTGTTGTCGGGGTTGGCAGTTTTCGGACTTGCCTGGTGTGGTGTGGTGTCTGCACTACACTTGTTGTTCGCAACAAATTGTAGTCTTCTTGTAATTTAAATTCCGTCTTCTATAAAAATATGGTACGCATTCGCGTACTCTCGAAAAAACAAAGACTTGTGGTCTAGGAAACTAGATCTGCTAATGGATTGCAGCCCGCGAATCAACCTGTGGTTGAGATGGTTAGGTGGACAGTGGTATCCCCAACCCACCAGGGTTCATAGGGTGAGTGTATGCGCGTGTATATGAGCGATTGTGTCTGTACTGATGCTCAAAAAAATCGGATTGCAGCCCAAGTCAGGACTCTCTTTGGTTTCCACACGATCTTCTAGGAGACAAAATATTTTTGTTGAGACTTGTACGAAACAAAATCTTCTGTTGTACTACATGGAGTTTTTCAAAGAAGAATGAACTACATGGATTGAAGTAGCCATACAGGACACGCGCATGCCGTTTTAATTCGCCGTACAAACCAATGCGCGATCTGCAAAGCCGTAGGTGATCGTCTCTTTTCCTTGGTCAACCCCGGCCGGCCACACCCAGGCCACACCATGTCCACGTCCGTGATCTTGTCGACCATGCGCGGCGCCGGCCGCCAGCAGATCACCGCCTCCACCGTCCGCGCGAAGCAGGCATCCGGCTCCCACATCTTCAGGATCGAGGAGTTCACACGAGCAAGGGAGAAGCTGGCCAATGGCATCGCCGTCATGTCCTCATGTCAAGCCCGTTCGGCGATGGCGGGCACGACTGGTTCATCAAGTGCTACCCGAACGGCGTTCCGGGAGGGGCGGGGAACCATATGTCCCTCTTCCTCATGCACGACAGCCACGCCAAGGCCGGCGATGCCACGGCGGCTTACAAGATGAGCATACTCGACAAGGCCTTGAAACCATCGTGCACTAAATTCGAACATGAGCGCCACTTCAGGGGTGATGGATGGGGCTGGACAGAGTTCATGGGGCTCCAAGATCTGGACAGGGACAAGTACCTTGTGGAAGACTGTCTGTCCATCCTCTGCGACGTCATCACCGCCGACGGGCTGCGTGCTGCGGCGGAGCAGCCGCCTCCGCCTCCGCCGTTCGACTTGCGCGGCTTGCAACTCGTGGAAGCCATCTGGAACAGGGAGACGGCGGACGTGACGATCCACCTCGGGGACGGAGAGACGATCGCGGCGCACCGGTGGGTGCTCAAGGCCCGGTCACCCGTCCTCAAGGCGGATCTCGCCCTCGCCTCGAACAACGCCACCGCTGACCATCTACGCCTGCTCGTGAACGACATGGACGCCGACGTGTACAAGTCGCTGCTCCGGTTCATCTACACCGACTCACAGCCCCCCGAGCTCGAGACGGCGTCGCCAAAGAATGTGGAGCGGCCGCTCTACGCAGCGGACAGGTTTCAGCTGGAAAAGCTGAAGCTCCTCTGCGTGGAGGGACTGTGCAAGAAAATCGACGCCAGCTCCGTGGCGGCCGCCCTGGCACTGGCCGAGTGGCACGGCTGCCCGACGCTGAGGGAGGCGTGCTGGCAGTTCCTCGTGAAGAACACGCCGACACATGAGCAACCAATCAGTACCAATGTATTTTGAATTTACCAGACTGCTAGCTACTTCCTCCGTTTCTAAATATATGTCTTTTCAGATATTTCAATTTATACTACATATGGACAACATTATGTTCCGGCAATGCATCAATGCGCACACCAGTAGGGTCGTGTGGCATCATGCACTTCGTGCATTATTTTCTTGGACAATACTATGGATGACTCGTCATGCTTGTATTGTTACTCGTCATGAGTTACACAATTTGTTGGCATCACACCTACCATCTGGTTTATACTTAACTAAAGTTTTGGCCATTGCTCACCACTGTATATATGACTTGTTGTATGTCAATACCATTTGATATGCTTGTGTTTTCTCTCCGTTGCTGGTTGTCATGCATGAGATGCTACATTCTAGGCTATACTTTTGATGTGTCTCACGGATCAGCTAAGATTTTAGAAGAAACTGCAATGAGTCGTGGACCATCTTCGAAGTCTTTCTTCATGGAACATTTTTTATTTTACTTCCGTATGACACACCATTGAGAAAAATGGCCAAGGAACTACTTAATTCCTACCTTTATGCATAAGTCAGTATGCAAAAGACTACAAAACTAGGTTCAAGCTCGACTATCTGCTGCACCTTCAGAATGCTATGGCTGGAGAGGAACAGCCGTGTGTTCGACGGGGTTGCGACCGTTGAGTCTGTTACTACGGCCAGAATTAGAAGCGAGGTAGCCCTCTGGATGTTGGCCAGGAAGAGGGGAGCAGTGGCAGTTGAGGGAGATTAGGATTGCGAGCAGGTCGTACTAGGCCTATGGTCGATGCTCCCATTAGCCTGATGTTTCTTTTCTAACATATGTACAGAACCACTATTGTGTTTTAACCCCTTTCTTAATATAGAAGACGCACAGCTTGTGTGTTCTTGAAAAAAATTCTAGCTTGTCCAACTTTTGTACTCAACAACAAGAAAAGGATGAGCAAAGAAACGTCAAACTTTAGATTTGATTTTGTTTGGTTTCATGGGATTGTGCTACGCGCTAGTAGTTTGTGTAGTTAGGTCAATAGATTGATCAAACAAACAATCGGACGAGAAAAAGGTTACTCCTTCCGATCCAAATTAATTAATGCAACCTCTATGCAATGTCTTCTATATATTGTATAGAGGCTGCATCAATTACTTTGGATCAGAGGGAGTAGCAAACTTTGCTAGCTCATGGTGTTTTTTATTGATGTCAATTTCTCTTTCACAAGTGAAAACTGGCTTTGAATTAATAAAGTCTCAGGCGGCCAACCAGATACAAGGTGCTGAGAAGAACATCTTACTTAGACCACAAATAGTTACAAACACATGTCAAGTAAAGAAAAACAGACACACCTTGAGAATGTCAAAATCTTCAAACACAAGAACGCGCCTTGACCAAGGTTGAAGCGAATACAATACCTAGATTTGGGAATGGCAAACAACTTGAAGAATATATATGCCTTCTCTTCAAAGAAAGATGGACCCCGCCATGCTGCATCCGTCTATCGCTGAGGAGACCGCCTTGCCCTAGTTCGAAGTGTGCCGAACCGACATATGATAGAGAATTGAGCATGAGTGTCAACTGGAAACCGAACCACGGACCGGTGGGTGCTTGAGGCCCGGTCACCCGTCCTCAAGGCGGATCTCACCCTCGCCTCGAACAACGCCACCGCTGACCATCTACGCCTTCTCGTGAACGACATGGACGCCGACATGTGCAAGACGCTGCTCCAGTTCATCTACACCGACGGCGCCGCCAAAGAATATGGAGCGGCTGCTCGCCGCAGCAGACAGGTTTCAGCTGGAAAAGCTGAAGCTCCTCTGTGTGGAGGCGCTATGTAAGAAAATCGACGCCAGCTCCGTGGCGGCCGCTCTGGCGCTGGCCGAGCGGCACGGCTGCCCGGCGCTGAGGGAGGCATGCTCGCAGTTGCTCGTGAAGAACACGCCGACACTTGAGCAACCAATTAGTACCAGTGTATTTTGAATTTACCAAACTACTAGCTACTTCCTCCGTTCCTAAAGACATGTATCTTTAGAGATTTCAATATATACTACATATGGACAACATTATGTTCCGGCAATGCCTCAATGTGCACACCAGTAGCGTCGTGTGGCATCATGCGCTTCTTGCATTATTTTCGTGTGGCATCATGCTCTTCTTGCATTATTTTCTTGGACAACATTATGGATGACTCGTCATGCTTGTATTGTTACTCGTCATGAGTTACACAATTTGTTGGCATCACAATTACCATCTGGTTTATACTTAACTAAAGTTTTGGCCATTGCTCACCACTGTATACATGACTTGTATGTCAATACCATTTGATATGCTTGTGTTTTCTCTCCGTTGCTGGTTGACATGCTCATGCATGAGATGCTACATTCTAGGCTAAATTTTTTATGTGTCTCACGGATTAGCTGAGATTTTAGAAGAAACTGCAATGAGTCGTGGACCATGGTCGACCTCTCTCTTCGTGGACCATTTTTTATTTTACTTCCATATGACACACCACTACCAGAATAACTGGCGATGCCGACGGCCGAACCTATGCCGACGGGCCCCATCGGCATAGATTGGCCTATCCCGAAGGCCCAGCCCAGGCCGTCGGCATAGAAAAGCCGTCAGCGTATATCAATCTATGCCGACAGCCCCCGTCGGCAAAGCTCACTCGTCGGCGTCGATAGAAATATGCCTACGGTGGCCGTCGGCATAGAGAAGGCCGTCGGCATAACTCGTGGGCCCGGCTACCCAGACGGAGACGGCCTTTTGACGGCGTCAATCTACGCCGACGGGCTAACGGCGGCCGTCGGCATAGACGCCACGTCATCGATCCGCGTCGCCCGCCACGTCATCGATCCGCGTCGCTCGCCTGTCCGTGGGGTGGCAAATCTATGCCGACGGCCTGGCCGTCGGCATAGGTCTGGCCCATGGATGTTGCCACATCACCGATCCGCGCCCTTAGGCACGTCATCGATCTGTGGCCATGTGCGCAGGTATGCCGACGGCCTTGCCGTCGGCATATCTCTATTTATTTATTTATTTTTATTTTTTTACTTATTTTTATTTACTTTTCCCTGTTTTTTTCACAACATAAATGTGCCTTGTCTAACACAAAAAAGACATACCCAGATGGTATATCGATTGCCCCCCTCACGGACGTTGCTGCCGCCGCGCCGTGCCCCATAGCGACGCCGGAGATGGGGGGCACACCACGGAGCTGCGTGCCGGGTGCCTGCGCTAGCCACCACGCTTTCACAACCGTAGGAGGGCCCAAAGCAACACCTAGCGGCATTGCTACCCCCCAGGTACACCCTCCCGTCTAACCGGGCCCTCATACATGCGGGGCGGTGTGGTGCCATGTCTGAAGAGGCGGGACGGGGGCCCTGGGGGATAGCAATACCACCGGAGCATCGCACCGGGCCCTCATACATGCGGGGTGGTGTGGTGCCATGTCCAAATTAGAGGCGGCACGCGTCTCCGGGTTGTGCCCCCGCTCACGGACGGCGCCGCCGCCGGCACCTGAAGGGGGGAAACGGACGCGTCGGGTCTACACGGAGGGGATCTTACAGTGGGTTTGGCCCGGATGTTGCTCAAAAGTGTTCGTATGGGCTGACCTAACACGACCGGGTGGATAGTTCCACTGGTCAAAACCCCTCCGTGCAAAGTCAAAGGGCTAGATCCCGTGGTCAAACGCTATAGGGTTAGGCGGGACGGGGGCCGTGGGGGGGTAGCAATGCCACCCGAGCATCGCACCGGGCCCTCGTACATGCGGGGTGGTGTGCTGGCATGTCCGAAGAGGCGACACGTGTCTC